GGCCCGCGGCTTGGGGGGCGGGAGTGACCCTGGGGTCGCGCACACAGGCCTGTGTCCCCCACGAGTTACCAATGCAGTGGCCTGGTCTTTAGGAAGGTTCTGGGTGGTCACATTGATCTTTTTAAAAGCGGATGGTTTAAGAGCGTAAGCGGAGGTCGCAGAAGCTGCCCCTACAGAGGCCAGCGCTGTCGCGGCCGCAGGGTCACCGCGGTGCCCGGAGCCGAGGCGCCCCCCCCCAGCTGTCATCACGGCAGCTGCCGCCCTTGCTCACTTGTCCCCTCTGCTTTGAATTCACGAAAACGTGTCTGAGCCACGCGTGTTTTATCTTGCAGGCTTTGGAAGTCGCCTACACGAATATGAAGTCAGGGAGAACCCCGCCTTCTGTCATTTCAAGTCAGGGACGGAAAAGCAAAGCCCGGCCCGCTCTCCCCGGGGACAGCCCGCGTCGTGTTACCCGAAGCGCCCGGCTCCTCAGAGCGTCAGGATGCCCGGAGGGACATCGCCCGCCACGAAAAGACCCCGGAGAAGTTTGTCCAGCAGCCAAAGCAGCAGAAGCGATGCAAGGTCCATCGTCCTGTTCTTCCGCAGCGAGGCCCCCGCGAGGCTCGCCTGCCCCGTCTGCGGCAAGATGGTGCCGAGGGACACCTTGAACCGGCACCTGGACGCCAGGTGTGGCGACGGCGGTGGCGCCAGCCCGGTGCCGGGGCCCGGCGGCTCGGCCTGTTCGCAGGTGTCTGCAGCGGACTCCACCCGCGTCGCCGTGGGGGGCGTGACAGCGGAGAAGCAGTCACCCTCCAAGACGAGCTTAGCCCCCGGCCCAAGCGACCCGGCCAAAGCAGGCGGCGAAGCCCGGACCAGCCCCTACTTTAAAGGTCCCGGTGACCCGCCGTGCCAGACGCAGGGGCCGCGGAGACCGCGCCACGTGGAAGTCATTGCTTTGGGAAGCCTGTCGTCCAAGTTGTCCAGGAGACACGCGAAGGCCACACGGTCGGGAGACGAGCCCCAGGACGTCGCCGGCCACAGTCGGCGGAGCTCCCCGGCCGCAGCGGCGAGGGCGGCAGACGGGGCGGACGAGGACCGCGTCCTGAGCACTTCTCAGAAGGAAAACCTGTTTGCCTGCGGGTCTCCTCAGGAGCAGAGTGGCCCCGAGCGTGCTCTGGAAGGCTCTACGATGGCAGTGACGGCAGCCGGAAGCCAAAAGGCGCCCCAGGAGCGTGGGAGAGCGGCCCTCACCCCCGCCCGCTCGGAGAATGCCCCCGGGCCGTCCTCGCCAGGCCCCGCTCTGGGGACTGGATTACAGGTGGCTTCAGAGGACAGCGCTGCAGAGCGGGGGAGTGGCAGAGGAGATGGCGGCAGTGTGGAAGCAGGTGGGGCGGGGAGCCGGGACGAAGGTCGCACGACTGTCGCTGCCCAGGCTGGAACCCAGGCGGCGTCGGAGGGGGAGGCCAGATCCCATAGCTGCAGACGCGATGCCTCCACCTGCAGCAACCTCCCCGAACTTCCTCTGGGACGTGACAGTGCCTTAAAGGTCGAGGTCACCCGCGGAGCTCCTCTGGAGGGGGCGTCCAGCTGCGGGGCCGCGGGCTCGGCGTCCCCCGGCCACCCTTACTACCTTCAGAGTTTCCTGGTGGTGCTGGACGCCGTGTTTGGGGACGAAGACGACAGGAAGCTCTTCGACGAGCAGGAGAGAGGAATTGTAACCAAGTTTTATCAATTATCAGGTAGTTTAAGCCTATTCGTTTTCGGGTTTTTGTCTCCCATTTGCGTGACGCGATGGGCAGTGATCTGGCCGCAAGGAGTCACTGTGGTTTTGCGACTCCCGTGGGCATCCTCGTGGGGGTCAGAACCTTCTACGAGGTTCCTCTAGACAAGGGGATGCGGGTAAGAGGCGGGATTTGGTGCCCGGTGACGCCCGTGCCCGCAGGTCCTTGCTCGGCCCCCCCCGCCACGGTGTCACACGGGTCCTCGCCCGGCGCCATCTTGTTCGGGACCTCTGGCTGCAACGTTGACGACACGGCGTAGGACCTTAACCCTCGTTTATGTCCGTCAGCCCGTGGGAAAACCGGGTTGGTTATGCTTCGTTTCACTTAAAGCTACAGAATCCGGCCGTGACGTTAAGTGAGGGTTTCCCGCCTCCGATGGTTGTAAAACCACCTTTTCCAGATTAAAAAAAGAAAAGAAAAGAAACGACGCGACTTAGAAAAGTGTACTGTGCGTTCTGAGCACGTCGTGAAGCGTAGGGATGGGCCGTGTGGTTTTTGCACGCCAAACCGGGCTATCTCGAGGCATAGTTTTTCCCCAACGGTATTTTGGGTTCCTGGACTCGACCTTTTAAAGTCTGCGCGTGTGTGTGCGTGTGAGCTAAACTGGTGCATTTAAAGACGTCAGTCTGTGCCTCGAATCTTGGCGGGCAGTGGTGGCTCTAAGCCACGGGTGCAGGTTAGGAACAAAAGCCACCTTGTGACAAGGCGTGCCCTGATCCAGAGGGCCAGAGCGGCACGTGGAGCCCCGTCCCTTCCGAGGTGGGAACGCTCGGTTGGGGGCACACTGACCCCCAGGGACGTGGAGCAGGTCTGACGCCTCAGGAGATTAGAAAACCCTGGCCGTCACCCCTGACGCTTGGCGGGCGGTTTGTTTTCAACGCACACGGCGGTGTTATTACGATAGTCCTTGTGTTTCTAACACGCAAGTCGCACGTGGCAGAGCTGCACGGGCCTCCACGTGGCTTCTGTCTCTACAGGTGCTTTTCTCCCAGAGCGGGCACACGTCTTTGGCTGGGTGCTGCTGGCATTCGTGGGTGCCCGTGTCGGAGCAGTCGGTGGCTCTGTGCTTCCGTCTAATGAAGAAACGTGGCCAGTTGCCCCAGCACGAGTTCAAGTTCTTGTGCGTTTCTCAGAGAATCATTTACAGTCCGTGAAAGCAGCTACTGCTAATTGCTTTTGCCCCTTTTAAGAAAAAAAGAAAAGTAAAGGTCACATGTTAAAAAAATATGTAATTGTACCATTTTACAGTTGGCAGAGACTTAATGATAATCTGAGAACTGAGACCAAACACGTTACTCAAATAGCTCGGCTGAGGTCACCGAGAGAGGTGGCCGCCCCACCGAAGCTGGGCATTGTCCGAAAAATCTTTTGGTGGAAATTATTGTCAACCAAAAATAGAATGATGTCAATTAAACTGAGAGCAGAATGACTGGAATTCTGGGGAGGGCTTCTCCGAAGGAGCCGAAGGTAGCCAGAAAACGGGGAACCTCGTTCTTAGAAGTTTAAAAATCGTCGATAATTATTACCAACCGGGAACTTGTTTTATGGTTCGTAGGCCAGTCCGGGTCGCTCATCTCGTGGAATCTCCCCCCCAGCTCTGGAGGGTGGCGTGTTTGATCTCCCTCCACCCCCTGCTTTCACTCTCCCTCTTTTTTTAAAGTAGAGGAGAAAATGAAGTCTCAGCAAGGTTCAGTGACTTCATTCCGTTTAGACCTGGCGAACGTGGCCCAGGGTTTTCCATTCCGCATGGCGATTCCTGTACACACCGCCGACGACATCCCTCTGGGGCCTTCTCTCTCAAATAAACTACGTCTCCCAGGGGAGGAAAGGAGTTTCTTGGAAGATCAGTTGAGGGAAAATAAATGTATTTCTAATAACAGAGTATATTTTAGACGCCGCAATTTAAAAGAACATGACGTTTCTATGTTGTTTTGAGAAGAAAGATAATATTTTTCGTCTTTCTTGATTGCAGATAGTGGTCAGAAGTTATACGTGAGACTCTCTCAGCGTAAAT